GTCAATGGGTTTTCCAGTAGCATATGAGCTCCTCGGCGCTTTCAGTTGAGCCAGATCTTCTTGACAAGCTGCAGGTGCTTCATGCCGATCGCCAACTTGCGTATCTTCGTGTCCTTCGGGAACATGTGGGATATGTTCGTGAACGGGTCGCAGGGGAAACCCACAATGGTCATGTAGGGGTCATCCACGTTCAGCTGCTTCAGGACGGTCTTCTGCGACTTCGCGTCCAGCAGGTCGTCCCCGATCAGGATGTCCCTCGGCCTCGTCACTGGATGCCGCCGCTGCTGAGCTTCTGATGTGGCTGCCATGCCACCTGCGTAGAGCTCGCAGATGATGGGCCGCTTCTCCTCCTGGTCCGCCTTCAGCGTGTCCACGATCTGCTGGCACTGGTCCAGCTTGTCCTGAATCTCCTTTTCCCACGTCTCGATCTGCTTCCTCTGCTTCCGTCGTAGGATGCCCTTATCGATCTCCTGGACCTCCGCATTCCAGATGTCGATCTCGTCGGACGTGACAAATGGCTCGATCTTTGTCGTCTCCTTCTTCGGCCACTCCTTGAGCGAGATCGTCAGGTGTCCCTTCTCCGTCTTGTTGAGAGGCACTCCGTACTTGTTGATCGCCTCGAAGTCCGCTTTCTGATCCTTGATGTATATCACTGTGTCGAGCTCCTCCAGCTGGTGGATGCTCAGCAGTATTGGCGTCTTTGACTTCGGCAGCCTCTGGAAGCGTAGGTTCACGTCAGCTCCAGCAAGTCCAGCCGTCACCTCTTGTTCTCCTACTGCCATGACCGGGGCGCTATCATTCACGCCTCGGAAGCGCATGGATGATCCTCTCATCCGTGTGGTGACTCTGCCGTCCTCTGTGTAGCCGTCCAGTGATATTGAACCTCCACATCCACGTAGGCACGCAGTGTCCAGTACAGCATGTCCATCTGGCATAGGTCCTTTGCGTACTGCGTAGGCATCAATTTATTCCAGCTCCTCGCAAGGTTGCTGCCGCCCAACTCCCTCTGGAGCGTAGTTGGTTCCAGCTCGGCGTTGCGTCCACAACCATGTCGGTCGTACTCCAACCGGTAGGCGCTCGCACGTACTCCTTACGATGTCACGAAGCTCCGAGGTCCTGTCCCAGGCTGCTTGGCATAGATCGTAAGCCATATTCCTGAGGCCGTTCGGCGCCATCTCCATGGTGATGCGCATGAGCTGCTGGAAGCGATGTAAGGCCCAGTCCAAACAGAAATCCATCTAGTCCCTGTAGGCCGCTTCCATGTTCTCGCAACTTACCCACAATGCTGCGATCTGCTCCGCACGAACTCGTATCTTCTGTAGATCGGCCACTGTATTGTCTTCTTCCAGGTAGTCTGTACTTGGTCTGCTGGGCTCCGTCCTCGACCACGTCCCTGGTGTCGGTCTGCTCGTTGAGCTCACTGGAGTGCTCAGGGGTTCGTCAGGTTCTTGTGCTTGATGCTCTCCAGGTGCTGGGTATGGTTCGTGTGCCTGGTCGATCCTCTCTTGGAAGTTCGGCTGGTCTCCTGCTGCTGATACCGCGTAGGTGTTCACGATCTGCTCCTCGGTGTCGATTCTCACCTTCGTCAGACTCGTGATCTCCTCCATCGCCACGTCTATGCTTGCCAGCTGGTCGCTGACAATCTGCATGGCGGTCATGTCCATCGAGCTGTCCGCCATCAGCAGCTTGACCGCGGTCGCCATTGCGAATCCAGCTCGTCGTAGAAAACCTCCAGGTCGTCCGTGAAAACCTCTTCCTCCACGTCCGCCTCCTCGTCCTCCACGTTGTAGCGTACTGGATCCACTCGCTGGTGACCTCGTCTTTTCGCACTCGGGGTCGCCCTTCCAGTGACCCTTCTTGTGGCACGCGTTGCACTTCGTGCGCGCCTTGATCTGCTTCAGCTTGTCATCAGCCTCTTTGCTGTCCATGTTGATGGAGCCCTGCTTGTTGATGTTGGCTTTCCAGCCTCTATTCGACTTGCTCTGAGCAAGCCGCTCCCGGGCCTGCTTGTAGTTGGGTTTGTGGTTGCGCCGTCCAGCCTTCCAGCCAAGACGTTGAGCCTCCGTCGTCAGGGCGTCGCACTCCTCCTGGCTGATCTCTTCCGGGTCCACGTCGTCAATCACTCCCTCGAACTCATCGATGTCCGCTGCAAGTGCGTCGTAGTCCTCATCACTCGGGAAAACGTCTTCATCGCACGGTGCACATTCATCTCCGAGTCGAGCTTCTTCTTCTTCGTCGTCGTAGTCCACCGGGTAGGCTCCGCATCGCCCATGTCCACGATCATCTCGGCCTGTGCTGTCCAGCTGTCTCAGTATGGCTGCCGTCACGTCGTCCCAGATGTATTCGTTGTTGCATTGGCCAAGGATTGCTTTGTGCTCTTGCATGCTGATGTTCGCTAGTTTCAGTCGAAAGTATGTCCGTCGGTCCTCGCTGACTGTCGTGTTCGTTGAAAGTGACTTGAGCCGCTCGTACTCTGTCTCTCGCCTCGATATGTAGTCCTGCACAGACTCTGTTCGATTGCGAAAACCTCGGAAGAAACACTCCTCGAACGCTTGCTGTGATCGTTTCCAAACTTAATTGATCGCGTCTCGGGGTGGTGTGGTGGGGGTGGGCCGTGTAAGATAGTAGTGCAGGGTATATCCCTCGTCCTGCCCTGCTTGTCTTTCGTGTCCGCTCAAGCTTTTTCTGGCTCGAGGTCGTTCGAGCCAGGAGCGCGCGCTCGCCCCTCTGCCCCGCCAGCGTGGGTGCTCGCGGCGCGGGCGCTGATCGTCGGCGCCGCGGCGAGGCGGTGGTGGCTAGCCAGTGCTGCCTTGCTCTCGTACATCGGGGACTGGGGAGTCCTCGACTCTATCCTCTCGAAGCCGCTCGTGGAGCCCGAGGACGACGCGTCCCTGAGGTGCACGAGAGAGTCCGAGCGGCTCAGCTTCTACGACTATCTGCGGGTTCACATGTCCAGCGTGACACGATGGAGCCGCTACTATCGGACGACTGGCCCCCAGCGGGGGCAGGTGGTCCTCCTGGTGATGCGAATGTACCCCAAGAAGAAGAACGACACAAGGTGGATCTACGTGAAGCCGGACCGCGCGCTCGGCGTGGGCGACATCAAGGATCGGGCGAAGATGTCGAGTCGTCGACAGCCAGGCTGGGACTACGAGGCGTTCCCGACCCTCACAGCCAACGAGAAGACGGACATCCTGGAGAAGGCCAAGGAGAAGCAGCTCGATGCCGAGCTGTATCTGTCCAACATCCGCGGCTACGTTGCCTTATTGTCCTTGTTTCGCCCTGGTCTGGTTGGCGTGTGGAGCACGTGGAACTGGGGGTCGACGGTGGGCGCCGCCTTCTTTTTCTGGAGGGTGGCGGTCTACTGCAACCTATGGCAGTGGATGCGCTGGTCAGTGGAGAAGCTCGAGGATGGCCACAACATGATACTCGAGATCGACGACTTCCGAGGATATCTGCACGACCTGTACCAAGACGGCAAGCTCGAGATTCCCATCATGATCTTCACCGCTGTGGTGGCTCTCGGGCCAAGTCTCCAGCGTTGCTGCAGGCAGCGCCCCCCCCCTTTGCTCGCGGGGGCCTCGCCTCCAGTGAGCGACGTGGACAGCGACGGGGAAGCGGGCCACTCGGTGGCGGGGTCGTCGGACGAGTCCGAGCCAGCCAAGTGCATGCAGGAGATGAAGGCCATGATGAGCAACTTGCTCGACGAGATCACCAAATCGTGGTCGGAATCACCACGCGCCCCTACGAGTCGGAGTGCCTCGTCGGCCGCGTCCCCTGGAGAGAGCAGTCACGCCAGCTGGGAGAGAGCCCCCAGTGTCAACACGGACTCCAGCATGGACATGCATGTGGACAGGATGATCGACCGGCTGAAGCGCTTCGAGGACACGATCAATGCGGACAAGGCCTCTCCTGGATGCAAGCCCTTGCAGGACGCTTCGTCCACGTCGGCCACGGCGGGATCAACGACGTGCCCTACCATCGACCTGGGGACGAAGGAGACGCTGGAGGGCGTGGGGGCGAGCCTCGAGCCCTTGAGGGAGCCACTCCGGGACCCCAGGGAGCGGTTGCTGGCCAACCTCTCGAAGATCGATGCGCCGCCCACCTTCACCCTCCCAGCGGGCCTCACCTCCCGCGTGGCGCCCGAGCTGCTGGTCCAGACCTACGGGAAGTACGGCAGCATGGTGAAATTCGCGACGGACTGGGTTCGCCTCAAGGAGTTGAATCGCAATCACACCGGCCACGAGATGATGCTGCACTGCATGGCGCTGGACCGGATGCTGGAGGCCTCGCCCGAGTTCATCCAGACGGCGGGCTGCGAGATCTTATGCGCGCGAGTTTATGCTTTGAAGCGGGCGCTCAAGGACGTGGCATGCATCAACGGCTGGAAGCAGCCCCGGGGCAGCGGGGCCAACAAGTGGATGTCCAAGGTGCGTTGGGACCTCGCGAACGAGCTGGACTGGAGGTCCCTCACGGAGGGCGAGGAGGCGCTCCCAGGCGCGGAGCGCGACTTGACGGCCAGGCTGCAGCAGAAGGCTCTCTTCCAGAAGTATCTGCAGAAGGGGGGCTCGGACGCAGTGAAGGAGGAGGACGAGTAGACGTTGGAGAAACTCTCCCTGTCTGTGGTGCCTCGCGGGGCTCCCCGCGCTTGAGGGAGGGGCTGGCGGTTTGCCGTTCCGTTTGCCCTGACGACGGCCACTCTGGTGGGCTTACTCTCCCGATAGCTACGGTGGCGCTCTTGCTTGTCGCGACGATCTTTTCGCGTGGTTCTGCGCCCCTCGGGAGGCGACGCCATGCCCGCTTTTCTCCATCCACGCACTTCTCCATCGTCTACCTCGACGGCGGCCACAGGCGCGCCTCCCGAAGCCGTTCCTCGAGACCGAGACCTTCTGCCGGATTTGCCGCCGCTACCGTGGTCGGTGGTGGTGGACCGCGCGGGGCCGATGCATCAAGGCACGCTGAGACATGTGCGAGCTCTTGCCAACGGGTTGATCCGATCCATGCACCACCTCTCGCGGGGCACGGTCGGAGCGGCCGAGGGTGCTGGGCCGTCGGCCGCGTGGGAGCGGGCAACACCGCTCCAGAGGGCTACTTCGAGGAGGTTACTGGAGACGTGGCTTGCTTGGGGCAGCCAGGTGGCCGCGATCAAGGAAGACGAGGACGCCGCCCTTCGGCGCGTCATGGCCGGTCGGGCCTCGCCATATTCAGGCGATGGGGCTACGGTTGCCCTGGGAAAGGATTCAAAGGGAAGGGAGATGCTACCAAAGGGCGCGATGTGCTCCGTCGACGTGGAGGAACTGGCTCTTCCGCCGCCAGGGACCATCCCTGCCAAGCTCGCGGACATCTGCCCGCTGGCCGCCGAGTACTTCTCCGACGTTGCGGGGGGGATGCTACGCGAGCCCAGCAAGGCCATGGACGAGGAGCTGAAGGGCCAGATGGTCTACCGAGATCCGTCTCTTCGATCGAGGGCGTCGCGTCTCCGCCTAGCCGAGAGGCTTTGGGATGCGGGGATGCTCGGGACCACCGACGAGCTGGTCGAGGGGGTCTCGCTTTTCGGAGTCATCAAGAAGTACCTGCAGGAGGAGGGGGGCCCCCTCAGCCCCGCCAGGCGCCAGGTGCGCGCCATCTGGGACCAGAGGTGGGCCAACCTCCGCTGGCAGAGGCCCCCGTACGTGCCCCTCGGCAGCCCCGCGACCTTTGCTCACGTGGACCTCTCCAGCCTGGGCGAGAGGGATGTGGTCTACACTGGCGTGGGCGACATCCCGGACATGTTCTATCGTTTGGAGACGCCGCCCGATGTCTGGCCCTACTTTGTCTTGGAGGAGGTGCCAGTCCACGAGTTCGTCGAATACATGAGGACCAAGGGGCGGGGCTGCGTCATCCCCGATGGCGGGCCCTTCCTGGCGCTGAAGGTCCTAGTCTTGGGCTGGTCGTGGGCCCCGTTCTTGGCCCACTCTACGCCGCAGGCCTGCGTGGCGCGCGGGCTCGGGGAGGACTCCGTCGGTGCGCGTCTGGTTTATGGGGCTCCGACGCCTCAACTGACCGGGCCCGAGGGGTTCGAGTCGGTGAACTGGGCGTACATGGACGACTACGGGGTCATGGCCACGTCCGCCAGCGTGCAGCAGCCGGTGAGCGAGGTCGTGAGCGGACTGACGGCCCGAGTCAAGCACTACTTGAGGCAGGTCGGGCCCCCCGTCCACAAGGAGACCGAAGGCGAGGGGCTCGAGTCGCTGGGGGCGGTCATCCGAGGCCGACCCTACTCCGTCTCAGCCGAGACCGACCGCACCTGCGGCCTGGCTCTGGTGACGCTGCGGCTGGTAGAGCGGACGTACTGGACCGCGGAGCTCCTCGAGCGCGTCGTGGGGTTGTGGGCGTGGGCGGCCATCTTCCAGCGCACGGGCCTCGCCATCTTCGACCAGGTGTACCACGAGATGAGACGTCCCGAGACCGCCAAGACGCCGTTCCGACTGACGGACGCGGCGAGGTGGGAGCTGACTACGATGGCATACTGCGCACCCCTCTTACGTACAGATCTCGAAGCTCCGTGGCTCTCGCAGGTGTTCATGACGGACTCCAGCGACACGGGCTACGGAGTGGCGGTCACCGACGCCTCGCTGGAGGAGATCAGGAAGGACGCCCGTTACAGCGAGATGAGGGGATGGACGATCGCCACCGAGGATATTTACACAGCCCAGGAGGAGGACGCCTGGGTCCCCCACGCTGGGGGGTGTGCCTACGACGTCGACGAGCTTATCGAGGCATCGACTGCACCGCCGCCGCGGGTAAGTCGGAGGGTCTACCGGTTGCTGTGCCTCTTCGCGGGCAGGCGCCGGGAGGGGGATCTAGAGGAGGCCATCCACTCGCGGGCGGAGCGCGACGGCTACGAGGTCGAGGTCTGGTCCATCGACGCGGTGATCAACCCGAAGCACGACCTCACCAACGACGAGTTCGTCAGCCTGATCCTGAGCCTGGCGCGCGACGGGTACTTCCACGCAGTGATCGCCTCGCCCCCATGTTCAACTTGGAGTCGGGCTCGCCTCCTGGGGAAGGGGCCCAGGCCCTTACGGACGCGCCTCGAGCCTTGGGGGCGGAGCGACATGTCATTCACAGCCTTCGAGCGCCTCCGCCTGGACCTAGGGTCGCGCCTTTTGCTGTCGGCCATGCAGGCGGTCCGCGAGGTATGTCGAGCTGGAGGCCTAGGCTTGATGGAGCACCCTGCGGACCCAGAGGAGGACCCATACCCGTCAATCTGGAACCTACCCGAGATGGCATGTCTCCTCGAGGAGACGGGCGGGAGGATCAATCGGATCGATCAGTGCCGCTACGGAGCCCCGTCGATGAAGCCGACCATGATTGGCATCTTCGGGTTCTACGACGACGCACTGGACCTAGCCGCGGACCGTCTCCGCTTGAGGTGCAACCACCGAGGGAGGCATCAGGCAGTACTCAAGGGACGGGTGGAGCGAGGCCGTCCCGATTTCTGCACCGCTTCCGCCCAGGCGTACCAGCCGCCGCTGTGCGCCGCGCTGGCGAAGGTGATCATCGAGGCGTTCGCCCGCGTGACGAAGGAGATGAGGGGCCCCGATCCGACGGGCTCGCGTGTGTCTCCATCCACTTCGTCCTTCGGCCCACCGAGGCCGGGAAGGGCGAGGATCGAGGTGAGGCGGGGCGATCGAGTCAGAGTCCCCCCGCTGTCCCCCGCCTGGATGCCGATCGCGAGATGGCGGCCGCTCTACCTCGGGAGGTGGAGGATCACGGAGCACACGAACATCAACGAGACGCGGGCCGTGGTGGGCCTGCTGCGACACCTGGCCAGATCATCACGGATGTGGAGGCGGAAGGTCCTGATCCTCACAGACAGCATGGTGGCTCTGGGGGCCCTGGGCAAGGGCCGCTCGAGTTCACCAGCCCTGCTGCGATTGTGCCGCCAGGCGGCGGCGATCGCCATGAGCTTCGCGATTCATGGGTACTACCGCTACGTCCCGTCGGAGCTGAACGTCGCCGACGGCCTCTCTCGGGGGGGCTTCCTCGGCGCGGCGCCCGAGACGGTGGCAGCTCACAGCGACCGACACCCCGCTCCAACGGACAGCCGAGGTCACGATCTACGCGACCTGGGCCGCGCGTGTACGGGATACGCTGGTGGGTAGCCGCCGTGGTATTGGAGGCAGTCCACCCTGTTGGAGCGGTTCGCCCGAAGCCACCCAGGGCGGGGGACATCCCCCTGCAGAAGCGAGGGCCACGGGCGTGGGATAACTACGAGAAGGAGCCGCACCTGGGCATCAGCGAGGGCGGCTTCACAAGGCTGCTTACCCACTCCGTGGCGGACGTCAGTGCGGCGCAGTGGGCCCCGAAGGTTCGAGACTTTCTTAGCCACTGTGTCGACAAGGGTTGGGAGCTGCGGTCCGCGAACGCCGTGGACCACGCCCTGGCCGACTACATGGACATGAAGTGCTACAAGGACCGGCTCCGTCCTGCGTGGGGGTCGATCGTCTTGTTCGGGCTGCTAGTGATTTGGCCTGAGCTGAGGAACCAGCTTCCCCTGGCCTTGCGAAGCCTGAAGAGCTGGCAGAGGCTGGTTATCTCTGTGGAAGGGGGTCCTCTGCCGGAGGAAGCTGTCTTCGCCATCGCCATCTACTTCTTCGAGGCGGGGCTCCTGGATGAAGCCATCTGGACCCTCGTGCAGTGCGACGTCTACGGGCGGGGGCAGGACATGGAGATGCTGCGCGAGGCCGACATCATTTGGGATGGCCGATGCGTGGGCCTCCTGTTTGGCATCTCGGCCCGAGGCGAGGAGGGCAAGACGGGCAGCAATCAAGAGGTCGTCATCCGCCGCGGCACGGTCGCGAGCCTCATCCTGGCCCTGAAGGGCGTCAAGAAGAATGCCACGGGGCCCATCTTCGGCCCCAAGCAGGCAGGCTTCCGCAAAGAGTGGCACCGCGCATGTCGCTCGCTTGGGATGCCCTGGGCGCCGCCTCCGCACGGGCTCCGCCACTCGGGGCCCAGCGAGGACGTGGCCCGAGGACGGGCCAGCCTAGAGCAGGTGCGGAGGCGGGGCAGGTGGAAGGCATTGTTCAGCGTCCAACGGTGCTCCAAGACGTTCGCCCTCGCGCAGTTCCGTGCAACAATGCCGCAGAAGGTGCTGGCTGGACGTGGGCTCCCGTGCGACCTCAGACCTAGCTGCCGAGATGCTCCGTGCGATAGAGTCCCGCACCAACTACAGCAAGCAGGAGCAGCTGGTCGACGGCATCAGGGCGAATATGAAGACGAAGAAGGTGAAAGATGTCGCCGCAGAGCTCTTGATGCTGGGACCCACCACAAAGCAGAATCAGAAGACCACCACCAACAAGAAGTCCACCAAGGGCGACACAAGCTGCCCGGAGTCCGACGACCTCTACTCCGACGAGACGTGGGGAGAGGGAACTGGATTGTGGACAGAGTGAGGCGACAGGCCAAGTGGGGGCGCCCCATGTGGGCGGCTAGGGGCGCCATACGAGGGCTCCCTACAGGTGGTGGCCTACGGGCGCGACCACCACCCCCCCGCCCGCCCGCCCTGGCCACAACATGTAGTTTTTTTTCGGCTACGCCAGGCACATCAAATGCGGGAGTGGGACTGAGAATCTTCTGATGCCGATCGCAACTCGAGTTTTTGTTGGTTGTGATTTGGTTGAGGTTATATGGATCTCAATCGGCCTCCCGTTGAATGATTATATATATATATATTTATATCGTTGGCCCGTCTGGCCCCTCGTGCAGTGTGTGGTTGAAACAGTACTTCTTCATAGGCCGCTTCGCGGCGTTGCTGCGCGTCCCGCTGTCAGATACTGTGTATCCTGTCAGCTTCGCTGGCCCCCCGCCTGCCCCCTGAAACGTAGCGATAATGATCGTTTTCCAAACTTAATTGATCGCGTCTCGGGGTGGTGTGGTGGGGGTGGGCCGTGTAAGATAGTAGTGCAGGCTATATCCCTCGTCCTGCCCTGCTTGTCTTTCGTGTCCGCTCAAGCTTCCCTCCCTGTTTGAACAATTTGCCCGGCCCTGCTTTCACGACACGTGGGACTGAGAATCTTCTGATGCCGATCGCAACTCGAGTTTTTGTTGGTTGTGATTTGGTTGAGGTTATATGGATCTCAATCGGCCTCCCGTTGAATGATTATATATATATCGTTGGCCCGTCTGGGCCCTCGTGCAGTGTGTGGTTGAAACAGTACTTCTTCATATGCCGCTTCGCGGCGTTGCTGCACGTCCCGCTGTCAGATACTGTGTATCCTGTCAGCTTCGCTGGCCCACCGCCTGCCCCCTGAGACGTAGCGATCACTTCTGTAGTGGTGCGATCCTTTCACACGCTTGTCGTACTGTAGTTACCACCAGTTTGACTGCAGCAAGTGGGTCATTACCTGCTTCGTCCAACACGGCTTGCGTACTGATCTCAGCCTTCTTTCGTGTGAGTGTCCACGCTCGTCCATTCAGAGAATTCTTGAGCTTGATCACGTAGAGCTTCTTGATTTTCTCCTCGCTCGCGTGGCAGCCGAGTATTGCACGCTCATCGAACTCCTCGCCGTAGGATGGGTCGCCGTTGTAGTGTACCACGCCCTCCTTGTCAACGAAGAGGGGGCCGTCATTGAACTGCTGCTGCTGCCTGGACGTCATCTTGACGACTGTGATGCTACTGGGATTATCTCCAATGTAGTAGCTGTCTAGATCGTTGCTGCTGTAGTTTTGCTGCTCGCCCGGGATGCTGTTGATGCAACGATCCTCGTCCAAGCTGTTGTAGGTAATGATTTTGAGCGTTTTGTCGATCACCGTGATCTGTTGTTGAGCGCAGTGGTTAAGCACCGCGAGGAAGTAAGTGAGCGCCAGCATATATGTTTGCACGGCCACTCTGTATGAAATCCTTGTACCGTGGACTGATTCAGCTCACGCTACCAGTGTAAATATTGATCCCAATCTCTCCACCCACAACCTCTTGATGCAATAAGAAACAAACAGATGGTAGGATATCTTATACCGAATCAAACGCAGCGTTCGATCGGTGCGTCCACCCTCCCGCCTCAGCTGGGCAGGTCCAAGCCACAAATGGCAATAGTGAACAAGAGAGTGCAAGCATGAGCGAGCGAGAGCAATAACATAGATAATTCTAAACATCGTCCTATAATTCACATCCTTGCTAATCTAACTTTCACACTAAGACGGTTCAGCATGGCGAAGCGGCCCCCCAGACGGGCCCAGGGAGCCCGAAGAGGACTCCTCAGGGGCCTCCAGGAAACACATCGTTGATGCCATTATGGATTTTACATGATTTGTGTATTCTTTTTTTTTCGATCCTCAGGGGGTCCAAGACGGGCCAAGAAGCTCCAAATATAAATTCTGGGCTCAGGGCCCACGGCCCCCCCCCAGATGGGATGGGTCCCAGGGCTCCACGCCCCCCCCTGATGGAATGGGAGGGGGGACGACGACGACGACGACGACGACGACGACGACGACGACGACGACGACGACGACGACGACGACGACGACGACGACGACGATGGCGACCACGATGACGACGGCGACGACGACGACGACGATGACGACGGCGACGACGACGATGGCGGTGACGACGACGGCGGCCACGACGACGACGACGACGACGACGACGACGACGACGACGACGACGGCGACGACGACGGCGGTGGCGGCGAAAGCGGCGGCGGTGGCGGCGCAGACTTCCGGAGCCCTCCGACGACGGCGGCGGCGGCGGCGACGACGACGTCCTCCTGAGCTCTCCTGGAGCATCACAGTACCACGCCACACACGCCACACCCACAGCACCACACCACACCCGCCGGGGGGGTGGGGACCATCGGGGGGGGGGCGATGGCGTCAGCATGAGGGGGGGGGGCCAGACCCTGGACCATATTAGGCCTGAGTGTGGCAAAACGGCGGCCCAACTGGCGCGACCGGTTCAGCCCATTCGAGCTAGCTTGTTGCCCTACGGCCAGCACGTGCGGCCTACCCAGTCTGACTCTAGCTTGAAGCGGCTTGCGAGACTGCTGGAAACGTTGAGAAGGACTGGGCGGGGCCAAGTAGAGGGTGCTAGAGAGGGTCTAGAGTTACATGTTGAATTAGATGATGCCACGGTGATGTGACATCCCAGTGTCATGGCCACGTCTGCAAGCCAAATTGCGGCCTTGGTTGAAGCATGCGTCTAGTGTTTGACTCATGGGAGGCAGGAGCCCAGTGTTGGAGAACTACTCACTCCAGAAGTGCGCAGAGTGGACACCACAGTGCTACGACGTGGCCATCACGACACCCAGGTAATCTGGAGTTTCTTATCACCAGCATCGATCTGGAGGACTCGTACAGCATAGTGCGTGCTGCAGGATTGTATTTGCAGAGAGTTCCACTGGGGACCCATGGCAGATATTTCGAAACGACTGGAGACCGCAACGGCTGCCTTGAGCGGTTCCCGATGGCGGCCAATTATCCCGAGAATTCCGTGAGTTAACAGTACCTGGGGCACGTCCCATCCGCCAGCTTGCTTCTGCTTGCCATGGCTTTGCTCTGTGCGCAGCGGCCCGTGCAGGAGGAATAGAGGGAGGAGGAGATGGCCAGACCGGAGGAGGAAGACGGGCGGCAGGGAGCGGGCAGGTCGTCGTCTCGGGTCCACCACCTCGTCGACGTGGAGGTCGAGCAGTACTGGCTCGACGACGACTTGGCCCAGCTCTGGGCCGAGAACCAATTGATAGGCCTTGCTGCAGCCAGTCGATCTCCTATGTGTGCATGATTGTGTCGCTTCGTTCGTTCAAGAGGACGTGCTCCTTGGGATCACTGGGCGGTACGGGTATGACTTTGTATAGGCTTACGGTAGCAGGTGGTGGTGTTGTTTATCCCTTCGAATGCGGAAGGCGGTCAATTTTCCCAAGTAGAAGTCACTCGGCTGGGCCCTTCTCCTGGAGTCCTTCGCCATTTCGGCTCAGCCTGCAGGAGGTACTTTGACCTCGCTCTCTCCTCCACCTGGCCCTCGTTCGCCTTGCCTCCGTCTTTCGTTCGGTGTCGAGGCTGCGACGACGGAGCAAGGCGCCGAGAGGCACAGCGGGCGCGCGAGTCGGCCCCCCGACCTTTGTCCGTCCGCGTGTTCTGACAACATCGTCGTGTCCCGCAAGCGCGTGACCGTCCACTACCCTGCAGCATTGCTACGTGAGACAATCCTGCCGACATTCTGATTCGACACAAATGTCAGTCAACATGGTCGAGTTGGGGTATCTAGTCTACCCCACCCCTCCACGAATGCGAACTGCTTTATCATGATGCAGTGGTTCGATTCGAGGTGAATCGCTACGGGCACTTTCTGCCAAACGTTACAAATCAAGACGGAACGAAGAATGCAGTAGAATATCGAGGCAACCCAGCATTGATTTTATGCAGAAGCTTAGGACGCCGTGCCTGCTCAGCACGTTTAGACCGCAACATCACGACGCTATGGCGATGTCCGTGCATCCTTGGACGGCGATGATGAGGGTGTCACGAAGTATCAGCATCAGTGGCAGCAGGATGAACAGTAATAGTTGCAGGAGTAGGTCGGAGAACAGCAGAAGTAGAACGATGGCTCGGCTGACCAGAGGTCAAGCTACCAACATGAGGATTCAACCACCTCAAGTCCAGCATATGTTCAAATATTTACGTTTTGCTCAGAACTCCGAGCGCACCGTCGGATTCTTCAAAGTTTAGGCAAATGATGCCGAGAGGACTGTGAACAACGCATTGCGTATGAGTGTAAAGTATGTGTGTGTGCCTGTGTGTGTTTGAACCATGAACGTCCGCCTGACTCCGCCGCGTCGCTGCGCGCGGCCACGACGCCACAGCATGTGTGCGTGTGGATGCGTTGCGCCACGCTTGTTGGCTCGTCGCTGGTCTGCCACTGCATCTTCCCGCACTCGGCGTGCGCCACTGACTCGTGCCACGACCCCCTTGGTCGCGCCATCCCCGCCCTCCGGTCGTTTCCCTCTCGCTTCCCCTCGCGGCTGCCCCCCGCGAGTCATGACGTGTGGTCCCTTGAGGGCGGACCCAGACCCGGCATGCCCCTTACTGCGTGAGTTGGGCCGGCCCGCGCGTCTCCGCTCGACCTGTGGTTGGCTCCGATGCGCTGTCGGCGCGCGTGGCAGCGACGCCCAAAAGTGTGTGTGTGTGTGTGTGTGTGCTGCCCGCTACCTGCTCCGCTGTCGCCCGGCCACAACCTCGTGACGTGCCAGCCGTGCGTGCGCGCGCGGCTCCGGCCGTGCGGGCGCCCTACGCGCTGGCGAGGTCGCCGCGCCGCTACGACCGAAAAGTGTGTGTGTGTGCATGGAATTGCACTTCGATTCCTGTCAGATTCTCTGGCGAAGTTCTCGAACGTTTTCATGCTCACTTTTGAGCTTCACAAAGAAGTAGCGTTTGTTTTTCGGATCCTAGGTTTGGAAGCGAATGTAGGGTAAGCCGCATGTGGGCTCCAGCCGCTAAATTTTCAGTACGTGTAGTTCGACCTGTATATACTCTGGATTGATCCTTGTCATGTTTTGCCGTGCAGCTCATCACACACGCATAGCTCATTTTGTATCAAGGCCTCCAGGTGCCGAGACTCAGAGGCCAGCTCAAAGCCCAGCCGAGGGCTGCATACACGTGTAGGTATCGTGCCCTGCAGGAACGGTTGCCGCGATAGTGATTGGAAGTTGTTCTCTATTGCTCAGGTATGTCTGCACGCCTCTAGCGATACGGGCGCTACGCGCCCAGCAGCCAGACCTGGATCCCAAAAGAAAATACATGTCGATTAGTAGCGTACTCTTCACACATGTGTACCAGGGAGAGTGGGGCATTCACCGTCCTACGGTTTTTTTTTGTGTAGCGCAGACTGGCTTTCATAACCGTTCATATCCATCCAGATCCGTGTAGTTCCGAGTTTTCTACGCTTCTCTGTTGATCACGTCACACACCAGAGCTTTTTACAGATCGTGAGTTGGCCCTCTTGATTGGAAGCTTCTGCGCCCCCGACACACGACGGCGATGTACGTTCGCAGAGGTAGAGAAATTTGTCGTGTATACGACGCATCGCGAGTACAACTACACGACCCTTGTTGACCAAGCCCACGTGGCGTTTCAAGGCTTTCACGACCTTATCCAGCAGGCGAATCTGCACCAAGAAGCCTTCAACAGGTGGGTACGTCCCCTTTCAACCTGATCCGTGACGCGTTGGCACTGGAGCTTCAGAATTGTCGGCCTCATCGGGGTGTATTTCTTTCATCGCGTGACAAGTCTCAAGCAGGGTTTCTTGTGTGCCCTCGAGATGTCCAACATCGTAACTGACGGTGTTGTCTTCGCCTGGAAGATCAACAGCTACTCCTTTGTCTGAAGATGTTTCATCCGTTCCACTTCAGAAAAGGCCACCCAACAAGTTATGAAGATCGCGACCTGAAATGCATCCTCTTTGCCCTCATGATAATGGTTAATGTCCACACGACCGTGTGCAACTGGAACGCAACGATCGGATCGTGACGTACGAAGACGAACGCATATATAACAACGCGTTTCATTCATATCATTGAGAAGGTTTGAAGATCTTGGATGTGCTCACAACGGAGCTTACGGTGACAGTTGCCTATGCAAATGTGTTGGCAGCACATGGCGGTCTATGCGGCCAATCACCATGTGCGTCCATGTCGGTAGCTGTTCTCACGGCGGGTCTTTGGCAGCGTCTGTGCGCAGACTTGTTGTGTACGCTTTTGGAGGCCATGCACGTTATCCAAAAAGGGTTCGGTGTTGTGCTTATCTTTGCTAGGCACGAGTGCGCATGTGAGCGCACTGCTGGCAGCGATCACCTCTTGCGTCTTCCCACGGCGAGCTCGCAGTCTGCACCCTGCAGGACGAAGGTCTCGAGCCCGCGCTTGCCATGTCCGCCGCGGCTTCCCACCATTGCTCCAGGCAGCTACCCCTCGTCCTAAGGAAGCTAGCCTGACGGAGTTGGTGGAGCTTTCTCAATGTGTGTGCGCGCAGGCCAGGTGCATCCGGCACCCGCGGCCCCGAAGCGCTGACAGCCGATCCGAATCGCTGAGCTTCGTGCACCAGCTGGGCTCGGAGAGCTTGTGTATCGGACAAGGGGCTCTGGCCAGAGGCCCGTCGGGGCTCCCAGGAGGCGTCGGGAGGTTTCGGGGGCACCTCAGAGGCCTCCGTTGCCTGGCCCTCGGCAGGCCCACAAAGGAACGCAGCCCTTATCTGCGGCTCGCTCCTGGCTGTAGCTCTTGGCTCCTCCTCTACTTCCTCGACATCGCTCCATCCCAACGTGTGCGTGTGTGTGTGCCCTGGAAGCCGCATGCATAGCATAACCACGTCCTTTCGCCAATGACCTCGGCAACCCGCACCTCGGTCGATTGCGCGCTCGCTATCGCCAACGCCCTCGTGCACGCTGACACTGCAGAACCCGCTGCAACTGCGATCATGCTACGGACGTCCGGCTGCATTGAATCAAGCGAGGCTTTGACGCGCGCGCATGTTTTATGTCCTAAGCGCATGGGGTCCCCGCAGAACCTTGCAGCAGGACATAAATGGCAGCGCCAACTACACTTTAGAATATTGGTATAATGTTTTAATGGAGCGGCGTGGTGAAGCAAGCAAAAGCTTCGGACAGCTTCATATCGCAGGCGCAGGGTTTGCGATCCTTATCTTGAAATTCGCATCCTTATGCCGTGCTGCGCCCTGGGACCTGATCTGTGGTACTAGAGAATGTGGCAGTGATTTCTTGTGCAATCTCTAGGAATGTACCACGGTGTACCCAGCGTGGATGAACCGCATCAGAGTTCGGTCCCAGATCCCACCTCCACTCGCTCGAGCTTCCTGCGCCGAGCCTCAGTGTGATGAAGGTGTCTCACCTATCAGAAGCGCAGCCAGCCTTTGACGTGGCTGGCCCGCGCGGCGCAGCGCCGCTTCGCTAATGTTGCAAGCGCTTTTCGGCGGCAGGATTTCCCGGGCCTCGGCAGCGCGACGGCCCAGGATCTTCGCGCACCAGCGCGTGGGGCAGATTTGCAGAGGATGCCCGTAGATGCGCGCCTTTCTCTCCCCGCCCCGAACACACTTCGCAATCGAGCAGGAGATGCGCAACACTCGCGTCGACGTTGGCTAGGCCCCCAAGGTCTCGATAGGAAGCTGCGCCCCGCATATCGTGGTCGACGCCCCCGTGATGCCCCTCCCCAGACAGAAGGAGATTATCGATGCGAATGCCTCGGGCATGCTCAACGAATTTGAAGCTCGGGCCCTTGAGGCCGCAGATGGCGTGCGTTTCACCGTGGATGGCAAGGGCGCTGATACTACCCTGTGGCTCGTGAAGGAATGGGCTCTATCATCTAGCTCGGTGACTACGAACGATAGGCAATGCGAGTAGTTCATATTTCAGTTATGGCAGTGGTTGCGCGGCACTGGCTGCTCTACGGTTGCGCAATCCCCATGTCGCTCGAGGGCCAAAGGTGGAGGCCCACTTAGCGCTGGTCGGGCTCCCTGCGTTTACCCCGCAGTCAAACTCAAGTGCCGGGACGGAGATAACGAGGCCTCGCCCTGGGCCGACGTCGTTGCTCCAATCCGAAGCGCATTTGTTTTCGGGATATTTGCTGTTCCATCGGGCTACCTTCGCGGTCGCTCTACCGCTCTATCAGTCGGGCCTTCGTATTGATGTCTTATCACATGAACCCAGGCTGGTCTTTCGCGCCCCTTCATACTGTAGTGCCCGACCTCATTGATCGATCAGCATGCTCGCCTCGCGGCGGCCCCGCGCGCCCGCCCCGCGTCTCTGTCGAGGCCGCCAGGGGCCAATGGCCAGTCCAGGCGCTGTCATTGGAGACGCTGGACAGGCTTACGAAGCCTTTGGTGTGGATAAGATCCATGACTGTTTGCATCGCCTGTCTGCGAAGCTTGACGCTAGCGAACAAGAAGGAGGTATGCCACGTTGCGTCGGGGTCATGCGCACTAGGCGTTCGCGCGCGTTTTTCGGGGGCGCCGTATCTTATGGGCTCTGGCATCGGACGGTCTGGCAAGCTCAGATTATTGGGGCGGCCCAGGAAGGAATATTGGGAATCAGGCTGCTCGTCGTGAGCGGCCTCGTCATTATGCCGGCGTACGAGTTCGTGGCATGTCCATCGGTGGTCTTCTCAGTGGGGCGATCCTGCACGCTGTGCTGAGTGGTTTAGGATTTCGGACTGATTCTCGGTGCCCATGGCGTCGCAACGTTACTGTGATATGTGTACGGATCCACGGTCAAGTTCGATTTCGCCGATCCAATTCTGATCGGATCATCTACAGTCATGGCTCCCTACTTGGAGGCTCAATTGTTTTCAAACGTACCTCGGCCAGCGTGTATGCGATTCACAAGATGGAGGCGTTTGCTCTGTCAGGGCGCTACTCAGATATGGCAGAACGGCCCCTGGTCCCGCAACTGGGTGCATTCCCGCCCAGCCTTCTCAAGCAACGACGGGTTGAACTTCGTTGGCGTCTTAGTCGAAGGCGTGACCTTCGAGTCTGTGATCTTAATTTGCTTGTGCTATCATGTAGTGATGTGCTATTTCTGTTTCGGGTGTGATAGCTTGGAAACGTGTATTTGATATATGGTATTATATCCTCCCGCCATCCAAACGCGTGGAGATTGGCCGAGCAACAGTAAAACTGGCCCAGATTACCTCCCGCTCCCTGAGAACCCCCAAGTACCCATGCATCTGTTTTCTTTTCAGAGCCTCGCGGTGCTCACGCATCGCGCTGCAAAAGTCGACGCGCCTACGTCCGACACGGGCTACGACGAGATGTTCAGCTCCTGGCGGAGCAAAGGCCAGGGAAGAGGTAGCAAAGTTGGTGGCCCCCCACGCCCCCAACCCGCGCGTCGCAGCGCGCCTCCCAGGGCGTGGAAGGACAACTGCGGCAATGGCGGAGGTGGGGGCTTCTCAGGGATGCTCGGCCAGATGACCTCGGTCACGGACAACATCGCAGCGCTGGGGGAGCTCGCGATGGCTGGCAACGCGTTGTCGCCGACGGCCCAGCAGCAGACTCAGCAGGCGCCTGGAGCAGGAGCCAGCGGCAGCCCAGCGGCGCCCGCCACAGGCGTGGCGCCGGCCTCCAGCTCTGGAGCCACCTAGGAGCCTGCGCGAGAGCTCGCCCGCGCCCTCGCGGCGGTGCTCCAGGCCAGTGCACCAGGGGATTCACGTCTGCAGCAGACGGTGGATCGCCTCCACGGCCTCGCCGGGGCGGCCGCGCCCTCGACGGGGGCAGCATCGACGCCCAGCAACCTCGAGCAGAACCACTTGACCCAACATATCCAAACCAGCACGGCCACCCCGCAGGCCGCAGTCGCGGACCATGGGCGCCAGATCGGGGCGATCAACGCGATGCTTGCTGGTGCGGCCGACGACTTGCGGGCCACATGGAGCGCATGATGGGCATTCGGTTTAGGACATCATCTACGCCGCCGCTCCAGCCTCAAACGGCGACGGCGTGGAGAGCGCTCGTGGCACTCGTTTTCATGGCGGACGGTTCTGTCGAGAGCGTCCGTGGTTCTCTCCATCTTCTATTTCTTCTTGGCTTTGGGCGTGTCGATGGCCTTACGGTGTGAAACCGTCGCTTCCTCGGCGCTCTCCCCGCTCCTGCCTGCGCAACCTCCATCCCCCGGCTTTGTGCGGGTCTTCAGCGGGGGGCACGCCCTCGGCAGCTGCGGCGAGGCCCAGGCCAGGCGCCTGCGCTGCCTGCCGGAGGCCAGCAGCGGAGGCGATGCTTACCGGGTGCGGCACCTCATTCGCCTGCATCGTCTCGGTCCGCCTCCACACAGGCTTCGGTGGGGATCATCGTAGTTGTTTCTGCCCAGGTGCATGGTGACAAGCTTGGGGCTCCTGGAAGTGTGGCTGAAGGCTGCGCATCTGAACCTCCAGAAGGCTATTCGCCGACGCAGATCATAAGTGAGCTTCAAATGAGTCCTGGGCCCCGTTTTGAGCCTACCTTTTCTCGCTGCAGACGTGCTCTAAGGCATACGGGCCTCAGCCGCCAACGCCGCGGCTCTGTTCCATCTCGCAGTCCAAGCGCGCCGAGCTCGCTCGAAATATGTCGACTTGAGCAAGGCTGGGTACGGGTAGCAGGGGCAGACGGAGGAGGTGGAGGAGGAGGAGGCGGAGGAGGAGGAGGAGGAGTTGGAGGAGAGGAGGAGGGTGGCGGTGGGAGGAGGAACCCGCTGGCAGGTTGGCCTCCAGCCGTGCACCCGGTGCTCGAGCCGCCGGGGTCGGAGCCCGAAGTCTGGCGACGGGAGGGGCAGAGCAGCACGTGGCGAGAGCACGGTCTCAGACAACCTGAGCTCGCCTCCGGAGTCTGTCAGTCAGCCCCAAAGAGGTCAGGAAGAGCAGCAGTTCTCCATACTCTGTGACAAAGGACGCCCTCAGAGATGCTTGCACTCTTTGCGCGATGTTTGCTCTCATCCAGCCCTCGCTTGCTGAAAAGCGCTGGGGTCAGAAGGAACGGTGGTTCATTTTTGATGGGTGGCTCTTCACTTTGGACATGATGCGTGCACTTGTGCAAGTATCACCTGCACCGAGCCACTTCGTTTCACCCTCGCTTCCGCTTTGCGATGGCCTCGCGTCTGACTGTGTCACTGTCTGGCTCGATGTATGGTGGTAAACTGTGGTCATTGACTATCTGATGCCAGTTCATGTGTAGACTGGCTTGCTTCCCATGCGTATGCAGTCATAGCAGACGTGCGAGAGTATGTACGCATACATGTGCATCAAACATGTAGCACATGAGCACTCATCATACACACGTATATCTAAATGTAGTGTCATCAGTCCTTCTGTGATTACACGAGCTTACACACCCGCGTATCTGCACATAGATGCACATGCGTGCACACCTGCATGTTGTCCATTTGGTCGTGTGCACGTGCGTCGTTAACCTGGTTTGCACATGTGTGTAGTGTACATATGCACATATCCACATATGTACACCTGAGCGGTACATGGCCATAGCTGCATGCATCGTGTGCATGTGTGTAAGTATATGTACATGTATGTATACATATATACCTACGCATGCATAAATGTATACATGCACACGTATAGGTATGTATAGTTATATGCAGTTGCATCTCATTTCTTCTAGTTGCATAGTCATATCACGGAGTAGGATCCCTGGGCCCCCTCAATCGGGTGCCTTAGACCCTCGTGGCGGAACAGGGGGTTCTCAAAGGGCCGGGCCGCCCCCAGAGTGTCAGGAAGCCCGCACGAGCAATAGACCAGATGTCCCCAACAGGGCCCGAGGACAGCTCGAACGCCTGCAAGGCCCATCGGGCCCGAAGGGGACCTCGGAGAGGACCTCACTCACTCACAAAGCCATCTCGCATGATCCAAGAGGCCAATTCAATTATTCGTATTTGTATGTTGTATGACGCTCCTATATTGGAATTTCCACCATAGTACATAGGCGCGCCGAAGATGCCACAAAAGGCCCGCCCGATCGCCTCAAGACGGCCAATTGGGTCCCAAGGCAGCCCCCAAGAGGGCTCCTAGGGAGGTTCAAGACGGCCCAAGGAGGGCCCCAATACAGCTCAAGATTGCAGGGGTACCCAAAGGTGGACCAAGAGGACCCCAAGACGGCTCCAAAACGGCTCACGAGACACCCGAGATAGGCCCCACAGCAGTCCCAAGATACCCGCCACCTGGTCTTCGTTCATGCGTTCCGGAGGCTCCGCGACGGCAGGGGCCAGTGGGGCCCAATAGGGCCTTAGGAGACCAAAACAGCAAAATCTGTCATTTCACCGGTCGCCGTTGCCCAGGGCGCATTTCACCGGTCGCGGGTTTGGGCTGCGCCGTTGCCCAGGGCGCATTTGGGTGGCTTTCCGCGGGCCTCAAGGAGGGACTTGCTTCGGGGCGTATCGGCCTGTCCCGCGCTCTGTCTTGCTTAATGCTGACTCAGTCAAGTCCCTTATGGATTTATTGGGTGCCTGTGTCATGTTGAAGTTTCCTTGGCTGTTTCGGCGAAGTCTTGGAGATCGGAGTATCACTGGACGCTCAGGAACGTGTCTCGGTACATTCCTTTCGTGGCCCCCTCCCTCAGCACACCGCCGCCTAGATTGCGCTATTGGATCGCTGAGGGTTTGATTCAGGCGGCGGGGTCTTAGCTTCAATTGTCGTTCCGTGCCGTGCTAGGCGGTTTCTTCAGAACGCGAGCTAGCTTGATTCGCATGCTGGGCGTCGCGTCCCGCAGATGTCAGCTTCACGCTAGGTAACATGCAGTCAGGCGTGAGAGCTGACGACTCACAAATCAACCAGCCGACCGAAGAAGCATATTTAATGTTGATTAGTATTTTCCCTACTCTGGGACCGCAGAGCCCAGCTTTGGAATCAGACACCCAGAGAAGGCCACCCCTATCCGCGAAGAGCGAACCTTCTCAGCGCAGTTCGCCCTGGGCCTGTCTTCCCGTCTGTGGGACAGACGCTACACTGCCTGCTGCGCTCGGTGACGGTGGGGGGGGCGCAGGAGCACGGTCAACGTGCGCATGCGCAGGGGCGTGGTCGGGCCGCACGCGAGGGAGACGATCCATGGAGACAGGCTGGCAGCGGCTGGGTCGCCATAGCGTTTGTATTCTGACGTGTCGTGTCTGCCATGGGGCAGTCGGACTCATCGTTCTCCCCCGGCCCGCCCCACCTTTCTCGCGCGGCGCACGCAAGTACGCGGCGACAGGGCGGGGGGACCATCTCAGTGGTTGCGGCCTGATTGGTAGATGACCTTGGCTGAGATGCTGGAGAGGTCTGGGGCCTGGCTGCCAGGGGATACTGGGAGAAGGCCCAGAGGCCTCGGGAACCTTTTTCTCCAAGATACTGCGGGCCTTGCGCCGTAGACTCTGTCGGGGCAGGGCGCCCGCGCCGCCCACGTGAAGAAGGGCGGAGCGGGGCCCAGGGAGGACCAAGGGACAGGTCTAAATGTAAGTTTCGGGTTATTCAAGGGTTTCGAGCTATCCTTCCAAAGACTGGAGCGCCAGGGGCCCTTCACGTCAGCTGCGCTTCGCGCAGAGAGCTTGCTGGGGCCGCGCCTGGTCGTCCAAGGCAGCCCTGGAGGCCCCCAGTTGCAACCAAATTCTGTTTGGGGGGGCTGGGTCGGGTCGCGTCTTCCTCATTCGGATATCTATTCGATGCGTCCTTCCCGACACTTCTGGGGTGACGGGAGACCCTGGGGTCCAGTGCGTTGGCTTTGAGGGACGAAAACTAAACCTGTTTTAGACCAAATGTTGGCTTCGAACCTTCTTCCACATTCCCCGAACTCGTTGAAAACATGTCATTCATTGGCAGCGCTGCCCATTCGACTTCTTTCTCCCCTGGAGCAGGTCATGACGCCTCAGAGAGATCACCTCCAGCCCTTCCCTCCGGTTCTCCCTCCTCCCTCCTCACTTCCCTCTTTACATTGCCCCTCCAAAGTTTGACAAGGTTTTGTGGGTCAGCCTCCCGTGGGGTGTTGTTGGCCGTAGGCACAGCCTGCCACCGTGTCTCAGATGTAGTTATCTCTTTCGCCCTGCGTCCCTCCCTCTCTCCCTCCCCCCATGCATACCACACCATTCATGTATGTATGTGCGGGAGGGGGAGAAGGAAGGGATGATGAGAAGATGTACGACAATACGAAGGACGATGGGAGAAGACGGAAGGCAAGACGAAGGAGTAGGAGGAGAAGGGGATGGGGAGGAAGTGGAGAAGAAGGCGGAGGAGGAGGAAGAAGAAGCGGAGACGGAGGAGAAAGAGCATGGTTTGGTGATCCCAGCCGTGTACCTGCCGAAGTATGCGGTCTGCCGTAATCGCCAGGAGCGCGACTGGGAACATCCCCACGATGATGTAGAGTGGCGTGGCCGTAACGTTGCATGGTTCTTGCGTTGCCCCATTCGGGGCTGATGAGGGGCGCCTGGGGTGATCGTTCTGAGAGCCTGTCGTGACTAGAGTAAGGGCCTCTCGAGGATCTTTTGAGGCAAGTTGCCCTCCTGGTGGGCGGGGGGAAGGCGAACTCCCAATGTGTGTTTCTTCTGTCTTTTCTCGAGGCCCATCTTGGGGCGTCTCGGCCCCCTGGAACTTTCTGGGAGCTTCTTGGATGCTTCTAGAGGTCCTATTGAGGTTCTTTGAGAGGGCTTCCTGGGACCAGCTAGAACTCTCTTGGGCCTTTTGGGCTGTTCATGAGTCTCATGCGGGCTACAGTGGGAATATGGTGAAGCCTCCGAGAACCAGGTGAAGGCGCAATGGCGAGAATCGACAGACTGATTGAGACGTAATTCTGTATTCAGTGACTTGAGATGCCGTGGGTCTTCCGTTGCATTTTCCTCTGGATATCATGGTTTATTTTGAGCGTCATCCTGGAAACCATCTTTCGTCTAGTGGATCCGAAGCCAGCTTGGGCGATCTCGGCCTAGCTTGGAGCCATCTTGGGCGTTACCATGGCCTCGTTTGGCGTTCCTGTGTTCTGGGGTCTGTCTCGCGACAGGCGTCTAGAGCTCTTAGCTGGTCCAGGACGCCCCCTCGAGTTGGAGCGTGTTGGCCCTTAAAGGGAAGATCCTGAAGCTTCGATTCAGTATCATTCGAAGGATGTCTCCGCACCGTGCGCAGAGGTATGGTGGGCTGTTAAGAGCGAGGCTCGTCGTCTTGACGAGATCCACGGCACGCGTATTGCGCGGAACCTCTCTCCCTCTCTCTATGTATTTGGTATTCATGGGGCATTCGTTGTGCGACGTGCGGGGGTAGAGATAAACAAGCAAGTCATTTGATTTGCGGCGCATGGCGCTCACGATTATTCAACACGCATTGCACATTCAGCTATGCGGTCAGATGTGGCGCGCTTGTGTATGTAACCTGCGAGATTGAACAGTGCTAAACTGGCGAAAAGGGGGTATCGCATGCAGCAGGCACAGAAGTAGCCCCCGCAGGTGGTTTCCACCCGGTAGTTTCCCGAAGAGCATTCAGGAATGTTGTGTAGGGAAGCGGGACGTTTGATCTATACTGTATGCGGTCTTGGGGTATGTTCGAAATAGTATGGAAGCCTCCCGCATATTTGAGGTCAAAGTTCGTAATCAGCCAAGCATGGGGACTATTCTATGTAGTGCAGGCCTTGCACGACGTAGTTGGTGATTATTGTTACGCTGCGCGATATTGAATTTCCGTTATTGGTTTTGATGTGATCAGGTCGCCGCACACGCTACCCATGTTGGTTTGTTCTGGAGAGGCCTGGCGTTTGTGGTCTATCGTGTATCGTGCCCACTTGTTGTTTACCGGGGTTTCTGCTGATATGTCCTGAACATGGTAGTTTCAAACAAGCGATGCCGTTGTCTCGCGTGAGGCGGTATCTAATTTCGTAGGGAGATCAGCTTCTATGTCAGCACAGGTTCTGCAAGGCAATCTGAGCGACGGGGATTGTTCACGCTGGCGGGAGTGCCAGGCCACACCCTGGAGAGATCCTTGCCAACAAGTACCGCGTCAGCAGGACTGTCGGCGAAGGCCATTTCACTAAGGCCTACCTCGCAGAGGACATCACCACGGGGACTTCGGTTTGCCTGAAGCGTCCGAGGGATTGGCAGCAGGCAAGGTGGGGGAAGAGGATGAGCGAGGCTATGCAAGAAGGAAGTGACTGCGGGGGGCGACCTATCCACATGGCCCTCAACACACAGCATCGGTGCCTGCCCTACCCCTCACTCTTATCCGCAAATCTTTGGAAATTGATATGTATATATGCATTTATACATACACGCATGTACGTGTGCATGTTTACTCATATACACAAGTAGTCTCATATTCTTATACGGTCATGGATCCCAAGCTGGGGAACATCCGGACGGAGCTCCAGGACCGCGGTCCCCACGGCCCCCCTGGACGGCAGAGCGTTCTTTTGGCCTTCCGGGCCTCCTGGACGTCTCTGCCGTGCCGAGACAGGGAGCGCAAAGGCGGCCAGGAGGGTGCTGAGAAGGCCCTTCGATAGACCCGAGCAGTTTTTGATATCTCCGCGATATCCCAAGACCCAAATAATCACCCCAAGACGCATTCCAATCGCAAAGTTCATTGATTTTTCTTTGCCTTTGTTGTATGGGCTTTTGGGCGATCGTCTCTTCAGTCTTCAAGCGTCCGAGACCGCCGAAGGGGCCCGCAAAATCGGCCTGAGACGAGCCAAACGAGCCTGAAGACGGCCCAAGAGAGCCCAAAGACGACCCAACAGGGCCCCAAGACCTCAAGAGAGCCCCGACAAGACGGCCGAAGATGGCTCCGGTACGCTCCCCAAACACGCAAAATCGTGGCCCGGTCGTTCACGGAAGACCGTGGTTGGCAGCAAGGTGGCCCCAAGAAGCCCCCATATGCCCCCGACAGCTTCCCAGGAGGCCTCCAAATGCCCAGGGATCAGCAGCTGGCGGGCCCAGGACAACGGCAGCGGAGCCCCTAGCCCTAGCACCAACCGTCCACCAGTCAATTGGCAGGACGGCTTCGTCTGCAACGATCGGCTCAGGCTGGCAGGGGGGCCCTTCGGCCCTGGACTCGGGCGCGCGGCGCAGCCGTCGCGATCCCTTCGCCAGCCATCCCCGTCGCCATTCACCGCCCGTCCCCTCGCGAGGAGCGAAGCCGCTGGGAGTCCCCCTGGCTTCCGATAGCATCTTAGGAGTTCCCGTGGCTGTCGGGGCGGCCTCGGGCACCATGGGGGGCCGCAACGCGACAGGAATACTTGAAATACATACGATGTTCACATGGTTTCCGCCTCTCGCGGTCCCCTGCGATGCAAGTCTGGTCAACATGAGAGGCACGTCGGGTTATCTTTGGCCATCCTGGAAACCTTCTTGGTGAAGGTGCGCTGGCAGTATTGGAGGCATCTTATGGTCATTCTGGAGGCTTTTTTTTGCCTCTTTGGGGTCTCTCGGGGATTCCGCTGGGGGGTTCGTGGGGCGTTCCAGGGACTCTTCGGGCCTCTTGGGCCCTCTTGGGGCCCTTGGGGCCGCTCTGGGGGGCTTCTTTGGGGTTTGTAAGAATGCTTTCTTGGGGTACCTGTCCTGAGCGCGGCAGCGCTTCGGCCTCACAGCCGCCCTCTGGACTCCTGTCGCCGTACACCGAACGCCTGCATGGAAAAGGAGGCATTCAAACTACGTGTCAAAGAGCAGCTGCCACTCACACGAGGCTTGCCAGAGCCTTCATTGGGGTCTCGGTCGGGAGGCCTTCGCTGGGCGGCCTGGAGAGGCACAGTGCCCCGGTTGCCGTGGCCCTTGCGGCGCGTGTGATTTATCATGTGATGTGCGCATTTTTCTGCCAGTGCAAGCGAGATTCGCCATGAGTTTGTCCAGCTGCGTCGGCGTGCCGCATGCATAGTGAACGATGCTCGTCGCATGCATGACGTGGAAGTCGGCGCAGTGGTATTTTTCGCGCCGCCTCCCCCTTCGCTCTTGTTTCATCTTTGTCATGCCAGTGACGCGCAGTCAGCTGGGGAAGGTCACCGTAACCTCAGCGTGGAGGCGCTTGCGGACCTCATGGTCATAGGGCGGCGGCTAGACGAGGCGCCTGACTGAGCAGCGCCCCGCGGTCAATGTCGGTTGGTGTTCTGGTCGAACGTGGGTGTGCTCACGCTTTGGCGCAGATGCATCGTGGTCGTTTCACACACACACAGCGTGCTTGCAACGCGTGGTCGTGCAGTTGTCGCGTGCGAAACCATATTATGTATAAGTGCGTCTGCGCTCGATTAATGGGGTACTAGTTTTCCTCCTCCCGACGGAAGGGAACACTCTGGGCAAAGAGAGCAGTCCGAACTGAAACATCAGGATCTGATGTGTTGACCCCAGTGTCCCGCAGTGAGAAGAGCAGTATGCTTAATTACATCCAGTAGGCCAGGTAGCTAGGCGAGTCTGTGAATGAGATTATTACCTCTGTCGAGAGCTGCCTTGTACGCTATATTCTCCATGGTTGTAGTTTGGTTGACTTTGCGTGTCAGTCATACAGGCATGCCCAACGCTTCAGCATACGCGTCATGGTTTACTGTGGTGTACGTGAAATTGGCGCCGTCCTGCGAAGGCTGTTTCAGTGTTTGGGCACAAGTGTGAGCATTTCTCCTTGGGGTGGCTTCTGGTCGTCATGCTCTTCCTGTCCACGATCTCCTCCTGACGTCCGTTGTCTCATATTCAGCAGGGTTTACCTCGTTCCGAGTCTGCGAAGCATCGCAGCAGGCCGAAGTTGCGCGCACACTAGCAACCAGTGGTCTTAGCATAAGATGCAAGCGTTTCAGAGGGTCGTTGTACATGGGGTATGCGGCCTGCCAAGCAATAGGTTTCAGCTAGTGGACGCCGCTCCCTTGAATTTGACGTCGCGGCGAATGTAGGCGTTTCTTCAGCGCCTTCTCGATGTTTTGCTTTCCGAGCCCGTAATATTTACTTGCGCTGGCTGTACTAGAAACGGTCAGGCGGAGAACGCGCGGTTGGGCGTTTGATGAAATGCGTGGGAGTCGAGTCGGATTTTGCAGATCTTGGCACAATATGTGCACCATGGAGGCGGAAGCGGATAATGCATGCATGTCCCTTCGTTCGCTCAGTTGCAGGCTACCATACCTTGGACTCATCATGCAAGGCGCTTCCCCACGGCCAAACATTCTGTATTACAGATACGGCAGTTGATGGAACTGGGGATCCGGATGGCAGAGTTTTTCCAACGTCTTGAAGATGTGTGCAACCAGGTCCGTGGGGTTGAGTCGCCGTTATGTAGAGTCACAAGTCGTTCGAGTGCGCATCGGTGTGGAGGGATGCCGTCCCCTCGTCACCCTTGTTTGCCTCCAGATGACCAGGTGGACTTAGGCGGTGGTCTGTTTCCGAAGCTGCTCGATGCGTTCTACGACCTGGTCGGCTACACAGTCGAGGGTCTTGTGGAGGGCAAGAACTGTTTGGTCGTGCTACAGCGCGACAGGATGTTCTTTCTGAGCGTCCTGTCGTTTTTACTTCCATCCTCTCCGGCCCCCTCTCTCTCTCCCTCCTCTCCTTCCTTCTCTTGCTCTGCTTCGCCGTTCCTCTTCCACCTTCTCATCACCGTTGTCCTTACTCCTGCTCATTCTTCTCTTCTGTTATCATTATTCTCTTCCCGTTCCTCTCATCCTCATCCTTGTTCTCCTCCTTCGTCAGGACATTCTTCCAGAGCATGGACAACTTGCGCGTTGTTGCACACGGCGGCCTGAGAGGCCTCATGTACCTAGACCGCGCTGGCGTGGTGCACAATGATGTCAAGCCAGACAACATCATCTGGACCCAGGCTGGCGCGTGCACTGTTTGGTCAGAGCACATTTTGCGACATGGCCTGGTTCGCCCCTTGATTCTTAGGATCCTCCCGCCCGACCCGCCCGTTGATTAGCTTCCACCCGCCAAGCCGCCCGACGCGCCAGCTAGGATCCGACCGCCGATCGAATGGTAGCATGCATGTCCCGCGCGTGGCGTCGTCGTTATCATTCGTCGTAGTTGCAGTCGTTGCCGTTGTGGTCGCAGTCGCCGTCGCCTTCGTCGTCGTCGTCGTCTTCGTCGTACGCCAGGTCGAGTCGTTGACGGTCGTCGCACTCGTCGTCGTCATCGATCGTCGAAGTTTTCGCAATTGTCGTCGTTGTCGTCGCAAACTTTGCCGTCGTCGTCCTCGTCATCCTCGTCGTCGAGGTCGTCGAGGTCGAGTTGTTGTCGATCGTCGCAGTCATCGTCGTCATCCGTCGTCGCAGTCGTCGCAGTCGTCGTCGTCATCGTCGTCGTCGCAGTCGTCGTCTTCGCCGTCGCAGTCGTCCTTGTCGCCGTCGCAGTCGTCGTCGTCGTCGCCCTCGTCGTCGTCGTCGTCGTCGACCGTCGTCGTCCCCGCTGGTCGTCGTCGGCCGTGGCAGCCGTGGCGGTGGTGGTGGTCGTCGTCGTCCCAGTCGTCGTCGTCCCAGTCTTGGTCGTCGTCGTCGCTGTCGTCGTCGTGATCGTCGTCGTCGTCATCGGTCGTCGCGGGTCGTCGCCGTCGTCGTCAATGTAGTCGCTGTCGTCGTGGTTGTCGTCGTCCTCCGTCGTCATCGTCGATGGTCGTCGGTCGTCGCAGTCGTTGTCGTCCTCGTCGCCGTCGTCGTCCTCGCTGGTCGTCGTGCCGTGATCGTCGGATATCCACTTCTAGAGAGCAATGATATCTCATCTCTGGGAACGGTTTTGGGCGCTTTCGCCTCGACACCATCTTCATGTTCTATGATAGCGATGCTCCTGCTCGAGCACGAGCTAGGGTTCCAATCCCTGCCCTTGAAGGCCCAACTGCGAGGACAATGGTTCTCATAACTTACTGTGATGCGGCCTGGCCAGACAGGCTCCCAAACTCAGGAATGACGCTCTCGCAAGAGACGTCGTCACAACTTACTGAGGTTGGCGAACGCCCAGCTACGACGACAACGGCTGCCGCTGGAGATTTTCTCGCACTTCGCTCCGAGACGCAATAGCCAAGTAAGCCCGCAAGCTTACGAATTGCGCTCTCGCCTTCCTCGTAATTCATTAGGACTGGCGAGTGCCCAACTACAACGACAATGGCTCCCGCTCGAGACCTCCTCACAAGTTACTCAGAGACGCAATGGCGCTCTCGCCCGAGACGTCCTCGCAGTTCAGTCAAGCAGTTTTCGTCGGCTCGGAAGGGCAGAGGACAGGAGACAACCAAACGCAGCGGATACAATAGCATATGCATCAATACGTGTTTGTACATGTATGTGCAGACATAAGAACACAGTGAGAGCGGTAACGCGAGAGAGAGAGAGAGAGCGAGGTAGAACGAGAGAGAGAGAGAGAGATCGATAGAGAGAGAGAGAGGGAGACATACTTAACCAAATAGATATAGAGAGTGGGGGAGAGGGGAGAGAGAGAGAGAGAGAGAGAAACAGAGAGAACGAGAAATAGAGAGAGAGAGGGGGGAGAAGGAGAGCGACTCCAGGCCCCAGCCGGGACCACTTCAAGGCACAAGCATGACCAGAACGATTGGATGTCGGTCCAGGTGTTCTGCTGGGGGACCACCCGAGAGCACTTGGTTCCAGATCCAGTTGAACGTGGAACAGGATTCTAGTGGTTGCCCCTTCGACGAAGGTGGCGACAGTTACGCACTTGGCGACCCCACAGGGAGCCGCGAGCTCTCGTCTGGATGTCCGTGGGGCAGCGCTCCGCTGGACCTCCCATGAGCCTTCGAAGGTGGCGACAGTCGCACAAGTGGCGGCCCTTCTTGGGAGCCGCAAGATTTCGTCTGGATGCGCGAAGGGCAGCGCTCGGCTGGACCGCCAGGAGCTCACAAAAGCGGCGCCAGTTGCGCAGGAGGCCCTCTGGAGCAGCGAAGTCTCGTCGGGATGCGCGCAGGCCACCGCTCCAGTGGACCTCCTGGGGCCCCGCGAAAGTGGCGACAACTGCGCAGATGGCAGCGCCCCCAGGGAACCGCGAGGGTCTGGATGTGCGTAGATCACCGCTGCGCTGGAGCCAATAATCAACGACAGTGGCGATAGTTGCGCAGGTGGCACCCCCCAATGTAGGCGCGAGCTCTCGCCTGGATGCGCTTAGGACACTGCTCCGCTACGACCACAAGAGCTCATGAACTTTCGTTCGGGTGTCCGTAGGGCACCGCTCTGCTGGCCCTCCCAGTAGCCAACGAAAGTGAGTGACAGTTGCGTTGGTGACAGCCCCCCATGGAGCGCGAGAGGGTGGTCAGAGGCAGGTCGAAGGGAAGAGGCGGGCGAAGGAGGAACAGATGGAGGAGGAGGAGGAGGAGGATGAGGAGGAGGAGGAGGACTTGCGAGCAGTGCTCCAGCCGAATCCACAGGGATTGTTCGGAAACGTAACTACTTTTCCAGTCGAGCGTGCGCGTCCTGAAGCAGCAAAGCAACGGCATAGAGCCTAGGTAGCAACTGTAACAGCAGTGCGACGACAGCAGCAACAGGAGGATTGGGAGAAGGAGGCAGATCCAAGGAGGTGGACGACCATAGCAATGTCTCTGTTGATGAGGGAGGCCATCACAATCGCACAGTGCAGCCCCGAAGGCGCCCATGCACCACGGGGTACCCGTGGAGTCCCCCACTGTTCAGATCGTCGACTTCGGCTGCGCGCGGCTAGATCAGCGCGAGGAAGCGGGCCGCAACTGGAGCTTGGCCGAAGGTGGTGCGGGACACCTCGGCAAGTGGTCCCCTGAGGCGCCAGGGGCGGAGGATGGCGGGCAGAGTAGAAACGTATTTTTTGGTGTGTGTGTGTGTGTGTGCGCGTTCGCCGTGCGGGCACCCCCACGGTTGTCCACTTTTCTCCACGCTGTCCTCGCCCGAATGGCTTATAGCGCTCTCCACTTTGCATGCAGCCATGGTGAGTTTGTTTCCAATGGTTTTGCATGTAGCCTCCCTGCCATCCATGCTGGCAGGTTTGCATTCCAAGCGAATTGAGAGCCCGGCCGCCGCGCACACTGTTCTCATTGTTGCACATTCTCCGCCTCGTCGCTGCACGCGAGGCCGCTACCGCCAACAGAGTGTGTGTGTGTGTGTGCAGCGCCCGTGGATTGTCTCCCGGTGCCAGCGACCGCGACGCCCCAGGCGCAATGGAGAAGCGCCCAGGCCAAGGCGGCGACGACTCCAGCTCCGACGCCCGTGGGTGCCATAAACCACTCCGCCTCCGCTCTGCCAAGGGAGAGGAGCGCGACGCTCCAGATCCTAACCCTCCCGCCCCAGCAGCTCAAACGCCCGGCATGGACGAGCTCCGCGCGCTCGAAGATCGGCAGGTGCACCTCCTCGTGCAGGGACAGCTCCATTTCAGGGGGGACAGGAAGCGGGACGGCGACAACCGAAGGCGTCCTATGCGCATCCTCTGGAGTGCCTTCTTGGCTCAGCACCACCCAGACCTTCGCCGCGAGCTCGGTGTCGTCTCTCTCTCTCTCTCTCTCTCTTTCTTTCTCTCTGAGACAGGGCTGTGCTCCTCGTTTACTTGGAGTCGCTGCTGCAGGCCGACATCAAACTGGCCCCCCCCAGCACACGCCCCCACGACCGACAACGCCGGCGTGGATTATCCCGCCAGCTAGGGCGGTCGGGTGGATCCTCCGCCAGAGCCCCGCCGTAACAGGCGGTCTCGGTCGCTACCCAGGCGCAACGGGGGTCGGCGCAGCAGGTCCCGCGCCCCGGCATCGCTCTCCCAGCCCGGGCACCTCGCAGGACGATCCTGGGAAGCGCACCTCGCGCCCGCGGTCGCAGGCCACTCCTCTGGCCCCCCCTCTGGGCCCGCAGAGCCCTTCGGCTGTCTCGCCGGCACTCCCACTCCCGAATATGCACGCCACGACAAAGCACGCGTCGTCGAGCATGAAGTCGGGCATGTCCCTCTACATGATGAGTGTTGAAAGAAAAAATAATTGAATAATAGTGTTGTGGCGTTTTTTCCCAACCATCCTGTGGTGTTGGGTCCTCGTTTTGAAGAGACGATGCCCCGCATCTCCTCCCGCTGTCCCCTCCCTCCTCCCTCCTCCCCCTCCTTGCCTCTGCTCTCGGCACACCCCTCGCACGTTTCGCAGCCCCATAGGGAGTTCCACCGAAAGCCCCAGTGGGGGGGGTCGCATGCAGTTCCTCCACCCAGGGCAGCTTTTCGTGGCCCCATAGGGAGCTCCACCGATGGCCCCAGTGGGGGGGGTCGCATGCGGTTCCCCCACCCAGGGCAGCGCATCGTGGCCCCATAGGGAGCTCCGCCGATGGCCCCAGTGGGGGGGGTCGCATGCGGTTCCCCCACCCAGGGCAGCGCATCGTGGCCCCATAATAAGGAGCTCCGCCGATGGCTCCACTGGGAGGGTCGGTGGCCCCATAGGGAGCCCCACCGAAAGCGGCACCCACAACGTGTTACGATCAATTGCTTATGGTTGGGTCCTTCGCCCGGATTTTTCTAGTTTATGCTATGTTCAAACTGTTTCAAAGACAATAAGGGGAATCGCTGTCTGGATACTGGTTAGGCGTACGTACGATGCACGCGGTTGGAAAACATACTGCGCCGCGTGGCGCCACCATTGTTTGTTTCGCCGCAATTGGTGGCGGCAGTGCGCACTATCGCGTTTTTCGCAGAAGCGTGCGTATATGGCGATGTGGTTTGTGCAACGTGCAAAATGAGGGTCGACCGCGCGCTACCATCGAGGACTGAATGGCGCGGCGCTGCAATAATATTTCCGCGCGGCGCGGGCACTTCGACGGGGCAGCCGAAAGTGGCAGTGCAGATTTGGATCCCTGTTTTTTCCATCTTGTTACGCACATCCACAAAAACCTCCCGATCAGTCGTTGTGGCCACTGGCAGTCAACTTCTGGCTGCAAAACTTTCGTTTTTCTCCCTCTTTACCCCCTCGCTCCTGCGCGCCATCCTCGTGCATCCTCTCCGCCCGACTCCCTTTCAGCCAGGATGGCGCGCGAAGACCGGTGTTTTCCACGTTCGGCCAGCGGGCCTCTTTCGGCATTCGCGCGGGGCCTGGTGCGCGGCGACAAACATTCCAGACCGGACAAAGCATAACCTCTCCTTTGATGCCATCATCGAGTAGACATGAGCTGAGTAGGAGGTGAAATAGCGCACGGCAGGAGTGGACTGGAGGTTGTCCGTGAGCCAGGCTAACTGCAATTCGGCGCAGGATTTGAGAAGTGAGTCGTATACAGAATTGAAAATCCTCATAATTGCCGTTTTACTTAGTTTTTTGTTCTTTTTTTGTCTTGGTCTCCTTTGGGCGCTCTTTGGGTTCGTGGGCCCGCGGCTCATCCTAAAGCGCGCCTGGTTTGTGGGCCAGAGGCGTCTTCGAAGCGTGGTGGTTTCTCGGGGTGCATATGGGACGTTTACTTGGGTGCCTGCTTGTACGTCAGGGCTCTTCAGGATTCATCTGCCTTCCTCAGGATGTATCAGAGTTCGGTTTTTAGGGACTGACCCAGGTGTTCTTAGTTTTCCCTTCAACTTCTTCAGGATTCCAGGATGTCTAAATATTCAATCGGATTCTGCATGTTGTGGGGAGGGTGTCTTGGGGAGGGGGTGTCTTGGGGTGTCTGGGGGTGCCCACACTTTCCTCACGCGCCCGTCGTGCCCTTTGGGTGGGCGCGGTCGTCTTCGCCCGCCTCGCGGGAGGAGACGGCAGCCCAAGGGGCGGTGCTCCTGGGGTGGGCCAAGCCGTCTTCCCCCGAAGCACAGGGGGGGGACGGCCTAGCCCTGGGGGCACCAGCGGATTGACAACGACACCAACTCATACATGATGAATGTTTCGGGTGTATTGTGGCCTCAGGCGTCTTGGGTTCATGGGGGCCGTAGGCGTCTCTGGGGGGCGGGGTGTCTTGGGGCCATGGGCGTCCTGGATTGTCTCGGGTGCCCTGGGTGCCTTGGGGCTATGGGCTCCTGGGGGTGTCTTGGGGCAATGGGCGTCATGGGGTTTTAATGTTGTTCCGTAGCCAGTTTCGCTCAGGCCAACAGAAGTTCTGAGGGCTCGCCTGCAATGCCCAGGCAGCCGCAGTCCGCATTCGAGCAGATCATCCAGGACACCGTGACCGTGCTCCCTCCCACGCCTGTGATGGACGAGCGCTGCAGGACGCCGTCTCCAGCGCCGTCCAGCGCGAGCCTGAGCAGTCGGGGCAGCCGTAACAGCCGTCTCAGCACCCGTCTCGCAGCCGCTACAGGCGCTGATGTGCCAGCAGATCAGCTCCCAGCTCATGACAGCCGTATCCTACCTGATGTGCCAGTAGATCAGCTCCCAGCGCATGCTTCAACAATGGCGCAGGTTAAGTACAGCGAGTGGTTGTACGAGCAGCAGAGGACGCTTGCGGAGCTGACCTGGATGCAGCGGCCACGTGACGTTAGCATCATCATCCCCCTTGGAGGCGGCAGCGTGCACGTCGGCTTTGACTACAACGGCATAGCGACGCACTGGTGGATCTGAGAGCGCGCCAATAGCCACCACAGCAGAGCGGACGCGCCAGTTGGCGGATTGCGGCTCAGGAGGGAGACAAGTCTCTCCCTCCTCTCCCTCGCTTCCCCCCGACTCCCTCCTCCTCCTGGGGTGTCTTGGGGTGTCTTGCATGTCTTGGGTGGATGTCTTGGGGTGTCTTGGGGAGGGGTTGTCTTGGGGTGCCTTGGGGGTGTCTTGGAGTGTTTTGGGTATCTTGAGGTGTCTTGGGGTTGGGGAGAGCTTGGAGTGTCTTGGAGTGTCTTTGCATTACAGATCGCACACGAGCTTATATTAAGTTGAAGGCACGACATAAGCTGCACTAAATGTAATACGACAGAAACGACGCTAAATCTGCCACTACAGTACGCGCCAAACGAATACACTACATTACAACACGATGCGAATACACAACGCTAACACGCTAATATAGTACACGATACAACTGCACGGCGCCAATGCACTACACGAACCTATTGCGTAATCAACCTGCGCTACTACACGACGCGCCAGCCCTACGTTATTACGGCAGCTAATGGTACACCGCTACGCGACACTTACTTAATTAATGCGCGACACTGAGCACGCGATGTTTAGTACGCGACACTTTACGACGCGCTGCCTAGTCCACGACGCTGGTGCCGTCTTGGGGCAATCTGGGGCCTCTCGCGGGGCTCTCTTTGGCCACCCCCAGGCCTCCTTGAGGCATTGGCAAGCTGACGGGGGCGAAACGGCGGGAAGGCAACAAACATTGAGTGCCTTTATGGTTGCGATGGGTTATGGCTTCTCGGAGGCTCACATTTGAAAGCTTCGCGGCTCGAAAAATGACTTCTTGGGCTCTCTGAAGGCCCCCCTGGAACCATGCAACAACACGAATCATAATTGTTGATGTCGTGGCATGAATTGGCGTAGCACGTCCGTGGCGCGTATTCGCGTAGCGTTGTCGCGCAGTGTCTTCGTAGAGCGCATGAGTGAAGTGTATTATTGTAGTGTATGTGTGTAGTGCATTAGCGCAGAGTGTTCGCGTAGTATCAGGTGTTAGTGTATTCGTGTAATACGTTGTTATAATGTTTTGGTGTAGTGCGTTCGCGTGGTGTACTAAGTCGCGCATGCGTGTTTTATTGAGAATTCGGTGTGGCTGCAGCGCACTCCCATGCATGTCAGTGAATATATTGTTGGGGTTTGGTTATGCTGGGTTATTTTGGGCGTGGGCCCCTCTGGAACCCCCAAAGCCCCTCATGAACCCCCTGGGTTTCGCGTGGCCACCCC